GCCTTGTGGACACCCGTCCCTGCCCCTCCCCCATACAGCTTTTTCTCCCGGCTCAGTCCCTGGTCTCAGCCTCACCCAGGGAAGTAGCAAGCAGAAGCGGGAAAGCTGATAGGGCTCTCTCAGGGATAGAGTTCTGCAAAGCTGTGTGTGTGTGTGTGTTCCCACCCTTGTGTTCCAGGCCACCCTCTTGGGATACAAGTCAGGTTGCCATGACAACCACTGCAGGTGCACAGCACCTCCAATCTTTTCTGCTTCCCCCTCCACAGCCACTCTGACCAATGCTGGGGGAGACACCATCTCTCTAATGGGAGTCTCCCCATCCCCACCCCAGGCTACCACCCCTGTCCCTTTCCTGCCTTCTCAGGAAGCCACAGGGCTCAGGAGGGGGCCCAGGGATAAGGAAGAGCCCTGGGAAAGGATTTCTCCTTCAAGCCCAGGTTCCTCTAGGGGCTTAGTGCTAAAAGTTAATATTGCTGTCACCTTTGATTTGGGCAGATGGAAGCTTCTGAAGCTTGGGTAATCAGAGTCAGGACCCCCTACTGATTTCTTTCGTGTACCTCCCTCTCTCCTGCCCTGGGAGGATTCCGGGTTCTTTTTCTGAGGGTGGCACTGGTCAGCCAAGCCTGGGGCATTTCCTGTTTATGGGCTTAGAAGGGCAAAGGGAGGGGCCCTCAGGCTGGGCATCTGGCCCAGATTTCAGATGAGGGTGAGTTGGAGGGACACTGATGGTACCAGCAGGCCCTGGGAAACTCCCATGGCTCAGCTTTTCCTGGTAGATTTCTGTGTTCCACCTACTCAGACCCCAAACCCGAATTCCAAGTGTAGCCTGGCTGAGGGTAGAGCCTGTCCTTAGCTTTCTATTCCAGACTTGATCTCTTTCTGCCCAAGTACCTGCCTCTAGCCCCTCTGGAGGCCTGGATCCCTTCCCCCAAAGCCCATGCCTCATGGCGCCAGCTCCATCTACCTCCACCCTAGCCCCCTCCTCACAGCCCTCTTCCCCAGTCTCCCTCTCATCCCCATCCCACCTACCTCCCATACCTCCTTCCCCCTCTCCACCACAACCCTCTCACCTATATCCCTGTTCACCTGTCACCATCCTCCCTCTGCCTCCCTTTTCTTGCTCAGGATGCAGAAACCCCAAGCAGACTTCCTCCCATTCATTCATTCATTCCTTCGTTCTTTCAGCAAACATTTTTGAGGGCTGACAAATAAGTTAAACAAGATTTTTGCCTCCTGCAAGCAAGCTTTTATTCTAGTGAGAAGAGACAGAAATTGAACAAGTAAACATAGAAATGAAATAATGGCAGATTGGGCAAGGTCAAGGAAAAGGATAAAGGAGAACCTGTGACAGAGATCACAAGGGCACCTTCTAATCCCCCTCTTAGATATGGAGTCAGGAAAAGGATCATGGAGAGCAGCCAGTAGGGGCCACCTGGAGGCAGAGATTTGGCAGAGGCTGTCCCTCAGCTCCTCTTTAAGCAGTAGAGAGGGAAGCTACTAGATCCTGCTGCTCTCCACCCACTCCCCACCTGCTCTCATAGATAACTTGCTCTTCAGTCAACCATGATGGACAGAGAAAGGAAATCAGAGAGACCTCCTCCCTGCTAGCCCTGTCCCTGCCTCCGCCCCACCACCTTTTGCCAACAGTGGCTCTCCTGATGGCAAGGGCATCAGTCCTGGGGCATCTAGAGGGGGAAACTGAGTATATGGGTAAGAAAAACGTGACCTTGTCAAAACAGTTTGTTCAGCCTCAAGCCTGAACAAACTACCACAGCTGTAAGAAATAAAATATGCACATACCGAGACACTTTCCTGGCCAGGAAAGGGTTCACTGTGGGCAGTTTCCCGGGGGGTACGGAGGGCACTGAGCATGTGGAACGGCTCCAAGCCACGTGGAGTCCAGAGCACGTTCACAAACACAGCTCAGGGACTTTGCCCTTCCCAGTGCTGCAGCCCCATGAAATATTTAGGCTTCTGGACTCAGCTTATCCCTTCTTGTCCCCCTCAGCAAGTGCACTTCCCCTACATCATTTATGGCTGTCCCTTTTCCTCTTCTTGGAGTCCTGCAGAGGAGGGAAAACCAGTCTCCAGACTGGAGGAGGGCATGTCCTGAACCTTCCATCCCAGCCCCGTGGGTGGGGGCAGGAATCAAGCCTAACCTTCTATTCCCTATCCCCACCCCCCCCCACCCCATAACAGGGACAGCCACCCACAGATAGAAGCCTTGAGAGCAAGGCAGTAGGGTTGGGTCTAGGAGCTAAGAGGTAATTTGGGGGCCACAATAAGAGGGAAGAAGAACAAGAAAAGGGAAATGCATATGTCATGGTTCCTGAAGGGCCCCAGGAAAGGAAAAGAGCTGGGGACTGATGATGATAAAAACTGCATTCATTGAGCTCTTACAACTTACTGTTCTAAGCAGCTCACATGCATTATCCTTTTAAATCTACACTATAAAGTTAGGATCTATTATCCCCATCTCAACAGCTAGAGAAACTGATGCTCAGAGAGGTTAAATTTGTTGTCCAAGGCAATTCAGACAGTTCAACTTCAGAGGTCAAGCTCCACATACCCCAGAAAGGTGATGAGACTTGGTTAGGGGTGGGAAGTGGGAATAGAGTTGCGTGTGTGTGTGTGTGTGTGTGTGTGTCTGTGTGTGTCTATGTGTGTCTGTGTGTGGGGAGTCATACTGGGGTAGCGTCTGCTGTCTTCCCTCTTACTCCCAAAAGATGAGGCTGCTCTCAATATAATCCCATCCCCTTGCCCCTCCTCCACTCCAAACTGGATCTGCCCCAGTCAGCACTCCTAATGGCAAACGTTGTTGGCCAGAGATTGGGAGACCCTGAGGAAGGGGGAAAATGAAGGTGAGGAGACAGAGGAGGAGGAAGAACTAGAGGAAGAGACAGACACTAAGCAGAAAGCAGGTGTGTGTGAGGGAACATGAGTGACAGCTGGGTGGGGGGATTAGAGTGACCCACAGCTTGGACAGTTACAGCCCAGCCCATCCACTGGATGGTGACAGAATGGATGGAAGGTGATAGAAGGAACTCCCGCTCCACTCCCCACCCCTACGGGGCTCCCTCTCCTCCCACCCTTCCCCCTTCACACCCCAGCTTCTCCTTCCCCTCCCCCACTGTCTTCTTCCGAACAATTCTAATTAGCCTAAGTGACTAAGAGGTGGTTTCAGCCTGAACAGCCAATTAGGCTGGGAAGAAGGGAAAGAAGCTCCCCCAAGTCTCCCGTCCCTCCCCCCTCATCTGCCTTTTATTCAGACCAAGTATTCTGTGCCCCAAACTCCTGACTTGCTCAGGTTCTCCTGATCCTGCTCCTCCCTCACTGGCCACTGGGCCCCACTTACCTGTGTCCAGACAGCTGCCAGCCCATTGCCTAGTGCCCACCTTGAGGCCCTCCATTCTCAGGCACTGAGAGTCCATTCAAGTCTTCCTGGTAGGAGGTGCAAGGAGAAAGAGGGGCCTCCTTGGAAGGCTATCTTCCTGAGTCTCTTTATTTATAATGTTGCTCCTCTCTCTCTTTCCTCTTCCTCTGGCACTTATTTCTAACATCCATGGGCCAGGCCTACTGGTTGCCATGGAGACACAATGTGCAGCTGGATGGTAAGCGGGTGAGAGGAGCTGTGTGCACTCCGCAGCACGGGTGGCTGTGTGTGATACATTTCCATGTGCGAGGAAGCTTTCCTCAAGGCCTCCCTGAAGTGAGACCCTGGCTGAGGGGGAGACTCCAGAGGGCCCCAGTGACCTTCAACCTCTGCAGGTCAGACACAAAATGATGTTCAATCCAGGCCTTTGAACGAAAGATTCTGGAGGGGCCCCAAGCTGCCCCTCCTGTCCAAGGAGAGAATTGGGAACCCCAGGAAAGGAACAGGAGTAGGCAGAGATCTTTCTTGTATAGAACAGCTGGAAGGAAGATTAAACTGTACAGATGGACAGGCTGCTAAGAGGCCAAAAACACCCCACCCCAACACACTCTAGGGGATAGGGGTGGGGAGGTTGGCCCAGCAAGCTGGAAAGTCCCCTCCATTTCCATTTACTTCACCCCACGTTTATCCAGAAGGTTCTAAGAAGTGAGAGACCTCGGTTCCTGCCCACAGAAAGCTTAGCATCTTAGATGAATCAGGCTAACTTCCTTATCATCTCCCATCTTGGGGTGTTGGCAGCTGCAATTTTCTGTACTGGAATACTCTGTTTTGAGTTCTGAAACCTAAGGTTCCCTTAGAGAAGCTTCCTGGGCCACACTGAGTAAGGCAGCCCCCTCCTCTCCCCTACCTCCAGTTATCCTCCTTCATGTCCCACTGTTTGTTTCCTTCACAGCACTTTAACACAGTCTATAGTTATCTCATTTGTTTGTTTATTGTCTGTCTTCTCCACTGGAATGGAAGTTCTAAGAGACAGTAGGGACCAGGACTGTCTAAATGAGTGCAGGTGGCACAGAGCCTGCCCCACAGTAGGTGTTAAATATGTGTTAAATAAAAGAGTGGACACATGATTTCATTGAAGTCCCCAAATAATCCTTTGTGATGGTAAGCATTATTAGCTCCATTTTACAGATGAAGAAGCCAAGGCTCAGTCTCGTGTCCAAGCTCATACCACAGGAAGTGCTACAGATAAATTTTTTTTTTAAGTTTTTATTATATTTGTTACAATGTTGCTTCTGTTTAGGTTTTGGTTTTTCAGCTACATGGCATGTGAGGTCTTAGCTCCCTGACCAGGGATCAAACCCATACACCCTATATTGGAAGGCAAGATCTTAACCACTTCACCACCTACAGATAGATTTCTAATGTAGATCTCTCTGATTCTAGGCATGATGGAAGGACGTGGGGACTGAATTTCCTAACATACACTGTGCTGTGGTTCCTCTTCCCCACTATCTGTGGGTATATGCCTCCACCTCTACCCCAGGCATCTCCAGAAACCTGGGCAGAGAAGGCAGGAGGACAGTTAGAATCTGTCAAGAACACAAATCTCATCTCTTCTTTTAGAGGCTTAGAATCCCTGCGTGACTCCCTTGCCCTGCTTAGGTTGACCAGCAGGCCCTGCTAGCTCTGGCCCCTGTCTCCTCCAATCTCTCTGGCCCTCCTGGACCACTTCATCTTCTCCTGCTGTACCTTCAGGCCCTTGCACACACCGCTCCATAGCCTGGGAGGCAGACCCCTTCCTCAGTGGGCTTTTCCCCGTCTGCCCTTCAAAACTCAGCTCTGACCCAACCTCTTCCAGGAAGTCTGCTGCAAGGTGCTGGAAAAAGCACCTCCTTTGGCTCTCCAGCCTGAATTTACGGCTCAGGGCAAGGCTGAACATGTGATATGGTCATTGTTGACCTGTCTGCCTCTCCCAAAGAGACCTTGAAATGTCTGTAGCATGAATGAACCAACCAGGGACAGGATTCTAGTACCCAAGTCCCTTAACCCTGACGTCATTTCCAGGGCTTGGCCTCAACAGAAGGAGCTCCTCACCCCTTACTGTCTGGCCAACTCAGAGGTGGAGATGACATGGGCCCTCTTGCTGACTCAGTGCCTCCTCTGATCAGGAAGTGAGGCCTCAAGGTTAGGTGCAGGTCTCCCTGGCCTAACTGGTAGAGGGAGGGCTGGAGATTCTGTAACTGGAGGAAGGTAGGAGCACAGGGTTGCGCACTGAGCCAGGGAGCTGATCTTACCCTTTGTGGATTCAGAGGCTGCCAGAGGGACCTCTGCCCTTCCTTTCAGGGTGTCCACCCCCCACCCCACTGCCAGGCTTACTTGAGCGCAACTGATCAGATCTGATCTTGGTGGTGTCTTCACTCTGCCCCCTCCCACTCTTCCCCTGCCGCCCCCATATCTTCAGCACAGCAGATCCAACTACTTGTCTCCGATTGTAGCGAGGGGGGCGACAGTAGCGAGGAGGGGTGGGGTGGATCCAAGCCCTGCGAAGCCCGGAGTAAGGGAACGGATAAAGGAGCCCCCACAACCCGCGCCGTACCCGCGGTCGATCCGGGTTTACAAGGAGGCTCATCCAGGATTAGTCCCTGCGCTGACTAATCCCAGCAGCTGAACCGACCCCGGGGTCCGGGAGTCAGGCCCACGCTGCGAGAGCGGGGGGTGGTGGGGTGGGGTGGTGGGGTTGGGAAGGGTGCACGCGGACTGAGCGGAAGCGCACGCGGGGGGAGGGGCGCCCCCGGCAGGCGGGGCCGCGAAAACGGCTGATCCGGTCTCTGTTCTTAGACTTCTTCCGAGCTGGTGTTTACCAGGGAGCCGGACGGAGGAGGCCTGGCCACTCGGCCCGGAAGCGGGGGGCGGGGAGGGGAGCGCATTCGGGGCCAGAGGCTGAGACCTTATCGGGTCCCCATACATAAGACTTCCAACCCTCGTTCCTGAGCATGCGACGGAGCGACAGACAGGTGTCCCCAGCCCCTTCTCCCATCCAGTTCTGTGATTCAAACTCTGCTAAATAAGGGGTAGCGGGAATGCATACGTGCTCTACGGAAGACGGCAGCATAGCGTAACCCTCCGCAGCGCGGTGAGCCCTCCAGCCTAATGCCTAGCCTACACCTTAACTCCGGTGGGAATGGGTTGCTGGAAGCGGATCGAGCCCAGTGGATGGCTTTGGAGTACGAAGTAGATCTGCCCTGTTTCCGTCCTCTTGTTCCCATTCCTGCGTGCCGCCGATTAATGCCATTATGGATCTCGATCCCTCTTCTCCCATCCACGTCCCCCGACCCCCTCCAAGGTCGCTACCCCAGGTTTAGCCTCCACTTTCCCCGGGACGCCGACCCAAGGGGCTGGAAGAAGCCAAGTGGGGTCCGGTTTTCACACTTTTATTGTAAAGCTCGGGAATAATTACACGGGCCTTTCATTGACAGCTCAGCAAACAAACCGGAAACGAACCGAACCGGAGGGGTAGGGGCGGTGCCTGCGCATGCTCGCGGCGGGGGGCGGGGGGCGGTCAGAGAAAGAGAAAGACAGAGAGACAGAAATCATTACAAATCAACGGGATTGTGCTCGCAGCGCCAGGGACAGGGGTGGAGTGGGGGCGGAGCGGGGGCCCTTCCCGGGAGGAGCGAGGCGGTGGGAAGTGGCACGAACCAAGAGAAACACGACCCCAGTGTGGGCACCCGACGCGCCCAAAACCCCCCTCCCTGACCCCCACCCCCCCCAACACACGAGAGAGACACGGCCCCCCTCCCCACTCATATACCCGAGGAGACACAGTCTCCCCCTCCCCACGGGCAGACACACCGCCCGGAAACCCCATGGGCGAGACACAGTCCCCCCTCCCAGAGAAGTCCCACGTGGAGACGCCCCCTAAGAGGCTTTCTCTTGGCTAACACAAGCCAACCCAACACCAGGAGACAGCCCCCGCCCCGTCCAGGGAAGAGATGGCTCCAGAGCCTGGGCCCTCAGGAGAGAGAGGTATCCCAGCGCCCCTAGGAGAAAAGACAACTTAGAGCTGCCCAGTCTCATCCCAAGTGCTGCAGGTCAGAGACACCCCCGGAGGAGAGGTGCGGGGAGGGCCAGAAACATCTCTTCCCAGACATGCTTCAGAGATAGCCCCCTTCCCTGGGAAGAGAGATGGCCCAAGACTGACATGCCTTAAGTACTCCCAGGAACCCTGGGAGGAAAACAGGCTCCCCAGAGAGCCTGGGTAGGGGGGAGACATGCTCCCATGGTCCCCAGAGGGAATACATATCCCCCTAGAGACTCCTAAGGGGAGAGATAGGGCCTAGGGAGCCCCCAGAGGTGAGGGATGCCCCAGAGATTCTCCCCTGGGGATGTGAGACACGCTTCAGGGACCCTAGGAGAGAAGTATGTCCCCGTATACCCTCCCCCTACCAAGAGACATGCTCTGAAGTAGGGGGTGAGGACGGACTAGGTCCCCTCTAGGAAGACACTGACTGGGTCAGGCTGGGTTTGAGCGGGGTCTCCTCTGGCCAAATGTCGCCTATTTGTACATAAAACTGTACGCGACACAAGGCATTGGGGAGGGGCTTCACAGACATAGGACCAACGGGAGTGGTCCCTGGTGCTGTCACCCACCCCCTGCCCACCTTTGGTTTCACCTCTCCAGTGCCCAGGTGGTGACAGACTCAGAGCCCTGACCCCAGCCAGGGGGCTAGGGGCTCTGCCTTCGCCTGTGGGAAGGGCTCCTCTGTGCTTCTCAGCCCTCCTGGCCACCTGGGCCACTCTCTTCCTTCTGGCTTCTCCATTGTGCAAAGTGCTCCTCTGCCCTTCCACTTAGTGCTCAGGGGCCTCCAAGACCAGGGCAGGGTGCCCAGGCCACCAGGGGCTTCCAAGGGGAGTCTGCTGACCCCAGGAATGCCTCCTGTCTGGACCACCCTCTCCACCAGGCAAATGGGCCGCATACAGTCTTGCCAGAATCTTGAACTCCAGGACCCAGGACAGCCCTCAAAGCCACTGACCCACCAGCTGGGCAGCTCATGTTACCAACTCCACCACTATTGCACCTGCCCCGTTTGTGCAGGGGGAAGGGGCTGTCTGTTTAACCAGCCCCAGCCCACCTCCTGGGCCTCCCCGAGGGAAAGGAGCCTTTGGCCAATCCCTGGACCTGGTTGCTGCCATCCCAGCCCACTCTACCCCCTGCCCTCCATAGAAGGGCTGTGGATGCTGGGGCCACCAGCCTAACAATGTTCTCCTTCCCAGCACTGTTACCCCGAGCCAAGTTAGGGGCAAGGAGCAGAGAATTAGGTGATTCTTCAGCCCCCTGGCTTTTAGGGGTGGAGGTGGGGTCTCTGGGGATACAGGAGTCAAGACTCCAGCAACACAGCTCCCAAAGGCACCAGACAACCCAGCAGCCTGTACCCACCCCTCCCACCCTTGGGCTGACCCCCCCAAGCTTAGACGAAGTCAAGCAAGGGCCATACCCTGAGTCTCCAGCCTCCCAGCCTGGGCCCCTGGGGAGCTGGAGAGGTATGGGCCAAGGCAGTGGGGGTTTCTGGAGGGAAGGGGGACTGAGGCTTTGAGATGGCCACAGTGGGAGACGGAGGCTCTGCAGGATGCCCCTCACACCCTGGCCCCCTGAGGTGAAGAAAAGAATCCCACCTCATCATGGCTGACTGGGCTTCTCTGCCCCCCAATCTCCCCACCCCCATGGGACCCCTGACCCTGGCAAAGGGAAGCCCAACTGGAAGAAGGGGGCCTGGAGCCCAGGGTGCCCTGAGGCGCCCTTCCCACCCCCTGAGATCAAGGCAATGGTGGTTTTACAGGCTGACGGGTCAGTCATGGCAGGGGCTGGGGGTGGGGGGCAGAGAGGGGGCAGGGTGCAGGTACCCCCTATTGGGGGCAGCAACCAGCCACCCCCTGAGCAAACCTTCCTGCTCCCAACTCACCCAACCAGGCCAGAGGCACAGTCATCCCACCCCTGTCCAGCTGCCCCCCACAGCCTCAGGGCCCCTCTGTGATGCTCATCTGGATGTGGGGGCCAGCCTGAGCGGGGATTCCCCCCACCAGGGCACAGCGTAACAGTTCCAAAAAAATAGAGATTTGTATTCTTAAAAAAAATTAAATAAAAGCCCAGCTCTGCTGATAGGCGAATGTTACCCTTACCCCCACCCACCCTTTGTTTCCCTGGCCTGCACCCCCATCCCACCATGGCCCCAGGGGTATTTACAACATGGAACAATAGAGGCCTGGGGTGGGGGGCACTGCGGCAGGGAGGAGGGGGCATAGGGCAGGTCCCCCCCAGAAGGGTCCCCAAGACAACACAACATCAACAAGAAAAGTTGCAAATCAGGCAGAAATGGGGACATCATTCCAAGGTCCTTATATACAAACACTGCATGACCAGTGGGGAAGGGGGGGGCCCCCAGATGGGACCCGGCATGGGCATGTGACAGGCAGGTGGGCCGGCCCAGGAGCAGTACAGGAAGACAAGGCCTCCGCCCCACTCTCACCCCCATCCCCACCCCACCTTTGGTAACAACAGCCCTTCAGGGAGCCCCTGGCGGTTGAATTTCCTCTGGGAATTCCCAGGGAGGGGGGCTCCCCAGTTCAGCCCTGCTGCAGGGCTGGAATGGGGGCATCCTATCCCCGCCCTGGTCGGCCATCCGGGAAACAATGAATTAAAAGTGTGCTACCCGTGCCCTTGATTCCACCATCTGCCCAAAGTAAGGGGGTGCTCCCTGGAAGTCGAGGGAAGGAAGCCTAGTCATCAGAGAGGAGCCCTCTTGGGCATCAGCTGGGAGGAGCCCCATAAAGAGGAAGAGGGGGCTCCCTAGGGTCTGAGGGATGAAGTGAGGGGAGAGGACCTGGACCCTGCAAGGGGGAAGGGCCAGCGTGGTCATGAGGCCAGTACCCCACCCCCCACTCAGGGCCCTGGCCAGGAAGTCCACGCTGGAGGAGTCAGGAGCGGGGACCCTGGAATGGGCCCACCTGGGAGCTGGCCGGCGACTGGGGAAGGGGTGGCCGGCAGGCCAGAAGGGGGCTCACAGGTAGATCTCACGCTTGGCCGTCTGGGCAGATGCCGGTGTGGCCGCGGGTGGGAAGTCCGAGGTCTGGGTCAGGGGGATTTCCTCCAAGGTGGCCGAGTCCTTGCAGGAATCATGGCTACTGTGGGAGAAGGCACTGTAGGGGGGCAGGAGGCGCACGGGGGCCGTTTTGGTGTTCCGGTCTTCCGGGGGGCTGGGGCTGCCGGCGCCCGCAGGCTCCTGCCCTCCTCGGTCCTGGTAAGGCACGAAGGTGGAGAGTTTGAGGGCGCTGCTCTTGGTCCGGCGGCTGGGAGACGACTGGCCTGGCATCCAGCACGTGTCGGAGTGGCCAAACTCGCTGCACTCGCGGGTACAGGTGCCCGTCATGGCGACGTCAGGCAGAGGGCGCAGGTCTGCAGGGAAGAAAGGGGAGGGTCCTCAGGCTGGGCAGCCTCCCAGGGCTCTCTCCATGGCCTCCCAACAGCACCTCCTCTCTGCCTTGGAACAAGAGTGCACACCCCTTCCTGCCCACCAAGCTCACAGGCACACACACCCTCCCACCATCCACGGCACGTGCACTCTCACACACACAGCCTATCCTTAAATAGACACATTCCTTCTTCCACCCTCCAGCTCCCCTCACACACCCACTGTATCTGCCCTCAGACAGGTGCACAAACACACAACCCATCTATGCACTCTGCCATCTATCTCCAGGCAGGCTGACACATGCACATCTACCCTCAGATAGGGATGAGGAAACCCCCATCCTCATTACAAACACAGTCTCTTTCTCCCTCATCCCCTGCTTCCCCACACACACCCATAGCCTTCCCCTCAGGTAGGCATGGATGCACAAATCTACACCAGACATCTCTATCCTCAGACAGAGGTGGGCATGTATCTTCCTTCTGAGCCCCTCAAGCCTCATCATGCCCCCAGCTGTCCTGGAACCCCACCCCAGCACAGCAAGGCCCCACTACAAAGCCAGGGGTTCCCATAGAAGCACACACTCACATAGCCACAAGCACGCTCATGCAGCCCCACCCCACCTTTCTCTGGCCCCTACAGCAACCACCACCCCTGGCCTTGCCCCGGCTCCCTGCCCAGAATACCCACGGGAACAGGAGTTGGCCGCCTGACATCAGCAGTAGCCAGTGTGGTTGCTGGGCACCCAGGGTCTCTATGGGAACGGCTGGGCCTGGAGCACTTCCTGTCACAGTTGCCCCCGTCCCGCCCTCTCTTGGGGATAGCACCAGGCGGTGACCGCCCCCCCCACCCCCGGCCTGGGACATGACTGAGCAGCACCACCTGGGGTGGGGGCTCCCCTGGCACCACCCACCCTGGCTTGGCCTCCTGCCAGTGCCAGGTGAGAAGGGGACAGCTCCATCATTAACCCTCAGAGCACCCAGGCTCTTCAGCTCAGGGCAGAGTGGGGGACCCAGCATGGCACGGAGCAGAGCACGGGCACTGGGTGGGCAGGGCTGGGTGCTGGGCTGAGTCCCACAGACCCCAGAGCAGCTCCCACATACCTGGCAGTCTGCCTCAGGGCCTGCTCCTGCCAGCCGGCTCTGCGCGGGCACAAAAAGGATGAGACGGGCGTGAGATCGGGTGGGGAGAGAGGACACTCTGAGACCTGGGGCCTGGGAGTCAGACAAGAACCTTGTGCCCGCAGGGTGAGGTGTGTGGAACCTTTCATCTTTTGGGGGGCTTCGGGACTTCAGCCTGAGGGAGGGGGCGAGACCTGAGGACAGCTCCAAGCTGGAGAGTCTGTCTATCCCAAGGGCAAGCTGATTTAGGCTCACCACCACGGGCCACCACAGATGCCTTCACACACACACGCACTACATCCATACATTCTGACAACACATCCCCCATCTGTCCCCACACTGCTCCCGCCCAGACCTCACTTCTGTCATCACCCTCCAAGCCTCTCCCAGACAAGACTTTCCCCTCCCCAGCACCACCCCTCTCCTCCGCCAAACCATCTCCTGCTCCCCCAGGGGACCATCATATGCTTCTCTGGGCTCCTTAGAGCATCCAGGGTCCCTTACCTTTCCTCAAGGCCCTCTGACCCTCATTACATCAAAAGATTTCCTCAAGGTTCCCTCACCACTACCTGAGCCCTCTAGCCCCCATTCTTGGGGTCCCTGTTCCCAGGAAGCAATATAGAGTAGTGCTAAATGCAAAGTCTTTGGAATCAGAGAAGCCTGGGTTTGAATCCATCCCAGCTTTGTCACTTCCTATATATGACTTTGGGTAAGTGACTCAACCTCTCTGAGCCTCAGTTTTCTCCACTGTAAAGTGGGCACAATAAAGTTCTCAGATCAGAGTGGTTATGCAGATTCAATGAATATATGCAAGAAGGCACTCTGCACAGTGATTACTGCTGACCACAGAAGAGCTCAAGAGATGGAGGCTGTTTTGTAAGGTCTTGTCACTGTTTTCAGGCTTCTACTGATTCCTGGGGTGCCCGACCATGCCAATGCCCCTCACCGTTCTCGGGGTGCTCCATCTCTCCTATGCTGCCATCAGGGGTGGTGCGCTCATAGTGATCCTCAGGCAGAGCCAGGGGACCCAGTCGGGGCCCTGATGATGACTTGCTGGATGGCGTCTCGGACTCCTCCAGGCCACTATCGTAGTAACTATGCTGGGATGGGTCCTGCAACTCCTGGGCCTGGCTGGTGGCAGAGAAGGTGACGCGGCGGTGAGGTAACTGCGGGGAGAGGAAACGTCACTGCTGGCTGGCCAGCCTGCCCCACGGGCCCACCACCACACCAGGCTGCAGCCCCAGCCAAGCCTACCCCCAGAGCTTCTAGTCCTTTAGGCCTCAGCAGCAACCAAGAAGAGGCCCAGCCTCCCAGCACAGCACAGCCCCCCAGAAAGCAGACACCTTCATAGAGGGCTGCCCTTCATTCTAAGACAGCTCCCAGGACAGCCAGGACCACACACGGGAAGTCCCAACACAGCACAGGCCCCAGTGTTATGATAGCCCCCAGGCCAGCAACGATAAGCCTAATCCAGTACAACCACTTGTTAGAGCACAGCTTCCCAGTATTGGCAACAGCCTCTCTTTCATTCCAGACAGCCAACACCAAAATAGCACAATACCAGCCAACTCCCCTAATTCCAGCATAGCCTCTAAACACCAGCAAGCCTCCAGTTTCTAGAACAGTTCCCTGAAAGCAGGACACACTCCTCATTCCAAAACAGCTCAATAGTTCCCTAACTTCCAAACAGCAGCCTCCAGACTCCAGCTCCTCACCTGTCTCATTGCTCCATAACTTCCTACTGCCTCCATCCAGTGGGGTTGCTAACCGCTGTCTGAGCTTCTGTTCCTCACCCCTGGTCTGCAATGCCCCCTGGTCTGTAGTGCCGTAGGCAGGACTCCCTGCTGAGTCCTCTCCCCTCAGCCCCTGTCCCCACTTGTTCCCCTTGAGAGGCCTGGGAGTGGAAAAAGGTGAGAAGGAAAAGGAGCCTGATAACAAACCAGGGCACCTTGGGGGTGGTGTGGCAGAACAATGGAAACTCCCCAGCCCTCCACATCAGGAAACAGGATTAACTGGAGAGGGCAGGGCCCAGGAGGAGACCCGGGCATAGGAGGAGGGGCCGGCATCCATCAGGGATCAGAAGGCTGGCTTCAGATGGAGACTCCTTCTAGGAAACAGGAAGGAGCTTCTGGGAGGGGCTGCTGGCTTGGTGGAGTCAGGATTTAGACTGGAAGCTGGAGTTGGGGAAGTGCAACAGTGACAGGCTGCTCCTAGCCAGCAGCTCTGTCTGCCTGCCATGGGTTAATGATCATCCCAGGAACCTGGCAACCTCAGCCTGGCACCTGGCACAACCAACCAATCACCCGAACACCCACCTGGGACTGCCACTGGTTCTCCTGCCAACCAGAAATTAGGAGTTGTGGAGGGCGAAGACCAAGGGTCCCTGGAGGCCAGGGGTGGGAGCAGCCCATGCCCAGGGCCCTGCTGATGAGTCTCCAGGTTCCCTCTGGTCCTCTGACTTTGTGCTGCTTTGTTCTTAAAACTCTCAATAGGATGTTATCGAGATGGAGGGTGGCCCAGGTTTGCAGACCCACCCTCCTGATACCCTACACAATTTGTGTCCCATTCAAGGCAGCTGGGGTGGGGGAGGGTGTCAGCATGGGGAGCTGCCTTCCTACCTTGCCTCCCACTCCATCTTCAGGCACAGACAACCCTTCTCGAGATCCATGTTGGGATCCAAAACACTGAAAGGTCTGGGTGGTAACAGACAAGATCTCCCAAACTGACCCGATGATAGGTTCCATGAGCTCTGGGAGGCAGAGTAGCCTGGCTATCAAGCGTTTTTTTCTTCACAGTTTTCTTTTTAGACATTAGCCAGGAGCCTTCCCTCCCTGCAGAACCTGTGCCTGGTAATCCAAGGCTGCGATCCTGCTTCCTGGGATACACATTACTTGGTCTTTTTCTATGATGCTTTTCTTTAAAATGGAGGATTGGGTCACACTCAATACTAAATATTCCTTATAGTTCTATGACTATCATCAAATCTTAAAAAGTCTAGGGACTTCCCAGCAGTCCATTGGTTAAGATTCTACACTTCTACTTCAGGAGGCACAGGTTCAGTCCCTGGTTGAGGAACTAAGATCCCACATGCTGTGCAGTTTGGCCAATAAATAAATAAGTCTTAAAAGCCTATGTCCAAAATCTGTCTCAAACACCCTAGTCCAGAAGTTCTAGACACTTGCTGTATATTTCTAGCTGGTGTCCCCATGGACCCTTCAGATTCAACATGCCTGAAACCAAATTCTTTTTCTTCAATCAGCTTCTGCATGGGCAATGATCTTACCATTATCCCCCTTATCCAGACTCAGAAGGATGGTATCTATCTGGAAATCTTGGTAGCTCTCCCTTCACTCCCCACCCCTACCCCATATCCAATTATTCCTTGAGTTCTATGGGTCTTTTCTCAAGAATGTCAGCCTGATCCATCTATCCATCATTCCCTTTGCCACCATCCTTGCCTAGACCTTAGGAGTTCCGTCCTGTACCTTCACCTCCACCAACTTAAATCCACCATACACTCCAGTGAACTTTCTAAAACTCAGTTCATCCAAATTCAAGAGCTTTCGGGGGCTCCCATTTCCTCTTAAGGAACTTTTGACAAGGCATCTATGTTCTCTATAGCCTACAGTCCTCCAATCTCCTGTCTCAGCTCCCCACTCCATCCTCCATTCCGTTCAGAATCCCCTTTCTGCCCTCTCCCTGTCTCCAGCGGTGACACTCACTCCTGCCCCAGGGACTGGCTCAGCCTCCCATCCATCTCCTGCTCCTCACTTCAGGAAGAGCTGGTTCAAGGTGCACATTCCCCTCTCAGGAGCCCACTCCCACGTCTTCTCATACTACATGCCTCAAAGAAAGGGAGGGGACACCATGGTCAAATAAATTTGGAAAACCCAGAGTTATACAAAGCTTAACAGTTTCTCCCTTCTTGCAGAACTTTGCAGAGCCTTTATTAGGTTAATCTGAACTTAGTCAAAAAGTGCATAATGGAAAATAGCAGACTCTGGCAACCAGATCTCCTGATGATTTGAATTTGACTCCATCGCTACCTAGTTTTCATTTCTGTAAAATGACCTACTCACAAAGAGTTATGAGCGTTGAATGAGCTAATTCACATAAAATGCTTAGCATGGTACGTTGCACCTGGTAAGGACTAAAAAAAAAAAAGGAAGCGAGTAGTGTCAGAACAAGTTGGGAAAAGCTTTTCTACGTGGCATTCTCACTGGTGAGAATCAACACCAAGATTCTCAACTGCCTCATCTTGTCACTTTTATGTCTTGTAGAAATATGACCATTTTTCCCTCAGGGTCTAGCACAGTGCTGAGCACAGTAGGGATTCAGCCTATGTGTTTTGATGATAACAGCGGTGTTGTGACTTGGTTATGCTCGAATGTGCGGTGTGGCTCCATCCCTGGGTTGGTCTGGAGCCGAGTAAAGGATAATCCCTCAGACTTCGCGAAAGAAAAAGAGATGAAGGAGCTAAAGGAACAGCAGAAAGAGGGAGAGGCAGTGGCAGCAAGGAGAGGAACAAGAGAAAGGATGACTGGTCAGGAGCTGCTGGAGGTGACCCTAGAGATGATTATTTGTCCAGGAGAAATGAGATGAAACCAGATTTCACTTCCCCATGCCTCACTCCTCCAAAACCCCCAGGATTTTTACTTTGGGGGTGCCCCAGGGCTTTGGGGAGTTTGTGGACAGAATCAGAATAGAGAGCTGGCGCCTTGGACCTCCTGGGAGTGTCTCAAGCCTCTTCAGTCACCATGGACACAGGTTGCCTCTGGCCTCAGAGACTCCCCCAGGACCTGAGTCCCCTCACTCTGACTTTAGCCTCCTCTTTGGGCACAGCCAGCGACAGGGCAGACCCAGGAGAGCAAGAAGTGAGAGACGGAGAGAGAGAGAGTGAATGAGAGCTAGCAGCTAAGGGTGGCCAGAGCAAGGAGCTGAAAGAAGGGAAGGGAGAGGCCCATATCGGGTGCCTCAGCCTGGGTCAGCAGTGGGGGCGTAGAGCAGGCTGGTCCGCTGAACTGGAGGATTCCCTCCCCTCTCCCTGGGCCCTCCCTCCCGTCAGCCCGGGCTGGTGACCCTGGTGGGAAAACAGGGCAAAGCAGGCTAATTGCTGGGTGTTGAGCGGTTTTGGGATGAAGAGGCTGGGAAAGGGACTTGGGAAGATCTTGCCTCTAGGGAAGGTGCCTAGTATAATTAAGAGGTTCTATGCCTTTACCTGAGGCAGCCAGACTGCACTCCACCTACCCCTGCCAGCTGCTCTGGTCTGAGCTCTATTGGGAACTGCTCAACTCCCCTCTGTGCACAGAGGGGAAAGGTCAAGTCTTAGCCAGTGGAGAAAGGTCAGGACTTGGGTGCCTCTCCACCCGCTTTCTTAATGAAGGGCATCATTCCCAAGGAGGCCTCACAAACCTGAGGGGAGGGGGACTTCCCTAGTAGTACAGTGGGCAAGACTCTGTGCTCTCAATGCAAGGGGCCCCGGATTCGACTCCTGGTCAGGGAACTAGATCCCACATGCTACAACTAAGACCTGGCCCAGCCTAAACAAATAAATATTGTTTGTTTTTTTAAAAAAAAACAAACAACCATGAGGAGAGGGATACACTGCTGGACAGCTCCATTTGAAGGGTGCTTCACTCAGACATGGACTCGGTCATTGTCGTGGGTGGGGGGGGTGATCAATTAAGATAGGGTTGGCAGAGAGGTGCAGGTCTGGGCCATGGGGACGGACAAAGAGCAGGGGTGGGGACATTGAGGCAGGACCTCCAGGCAAAGGATTGTTTCCAGTCTCTCTCACTTCTTCTCTCACTTCCAGAAAAATAAGAAACCAAAACTCCAAAAATAGAGAACTTTATTATCAGGGGGAAGTGTTTGGGACTGGGGAAGAGGAATGGGGGGCCCAGCCCAGGAGTCTGGGGTGGGGAAGAGGGTGACACACACTACACGAGAAGGCACAAAAGGGGAGGCCCCCCTCCCTGACAGAATCCCCACCTGGTTACCCACCAGGACCCCAGGTCTCCCTGTTTCCCCTTTAGAGAAGCACCCATGGCTGGTCTCAGACAGAGACACAGGTTTGAAGGAGACTTATTCTCCATTTCCCTCCTGGCTTCTGCCTCCAAACCCTTCTGCTCCCCTGCCCATCAGCCCCCACCTGTAGGACCCGGCATCTGGCCGTGCCCCAGGATGTAACAAATCACAGGCCTCTCCCAGTGGGGAGGGGCGGTGGGAGGGGGAACACAGAGCGAACCCTCCGTTTTCACTGGGCCCAGCCCTCCAAGCCTGGGTGAGGCAGCAGGGTCATTGCCGGTCCCAGTATTCCCTGACCTTTGGTTCCACCTCCCACCACTGCCTAGGGCTGGTGAGCAGAGCAGGTCCAAGACATCAGCTCCGTCACTCCCACACCTCGGTCCAGATGGCCCCGTGGTAGGGGTGGGGTGGGGGCTGGGGCGTGCAGAGCCTCAAGGGCTGGCCTACCTGCTTGCTGGGGTATTTGGGGGGGTTGGTGCGGTAGCTGTAGTCGGAGTACTGCTCAGAGCCCGTGGACGTCGTGTCCCCGGTGCCCACGAATGTGTTTGCAGGCGGCAGTTCCTGCACCACCTGGTGCTTCTTGGAGGCGGAGGGCGACTGGGGCTGCAACTGGATGGAAGGCAGTGGGGAATTAGAGCGATAGTGGCGACCCAGGTCAGGGCTGCCTGGTGGGTAGTTGAGGGGCAGGTGGATGCGTGGACTGTCCCCGGGGGCGTCGCTCATCAGGTTGAACTTAAGAGACTTCTGCAGGCCGGTCTCATCCTCATCCTCCACCGGTTTCACGGGCTTGGGAGACTTGCTCTTCTTGCCCTTGCTTTTGTTGCCCTTGGAAACTTTGCTGCTGGGCTTGGGGGCGTACAGGTCCTTGGTCTCCTTCTTGCCAGCCTGGTAGCCACTCTTGGCCTCCCGTTGCCGGCAGTAGCGCACTAGCACAGCCAGGGCGATGAGCAAGGCCACGGCCACGACACCAGCCACCACACCAAAGAGGATGTTGCCGCGCTGCTTGGAGCGCTCGTATTCTGGGTCCCCGGCGATGTCGATGTCCAGCGGCGTGTCCAGGCTGTGGCCCAGTAGGGTCTCCAGCAGCGTGCGGTTGGCCAGGGTCTCGTTGACATACAGGTGGACCAGGGCTGTGCCGTAGCGTGGGGGCTTGCCGCGGTCACTGACCTTCACAACTAAGCGGTGCAGCCCATGGTGGCGGCGCTCAATCTCCTTCTCCAGGGTGATGGCACCAGAATGTGACCCAATCTGGAAAAGTCCATAAGGGTTGCCACCAGCGATGCTGTAGGTCAGCTCAGCATTGACACCAGAGTCAATGTCCTCAGCTGTCACCTGGCTGACGGTCTCACCCAGACGGGTCTGGGGGGTCAGCAGCCGGTGGGAGGTGTTGGAAGGGGCAGTGATAAAAGGCGCGTTGTCATTCTCATCCAGCACGTTGATGGTGACACCAACGTAAGCCGAGCGAGGTGGGACACCACCGTCCACAGCTTTCAGTTGGAAGGTATAGGTGCTTTGCTGCTCCCGATCGAAGCTCAGGCTGGAGAGTATGGTGCCCGTGCCATTCTGGATAACAAAGTCACCGTTGTCCTGCTCCACCGTGAGCTGCACCCGTGCGTTCTCCCCCTTGTCCCCATCAATGACAGTCACCATGCCCACCGGACTCAGTGCCGGCATGTTCTCCATCACCGAGAAGTTGTAGCCACTCAACATAAACTTGGGGTCGTTGTCATTGCAGTCCAGCACGCTGACGAGGACAGTGGCTGTGCCCTGGAGGCTAGGGCTGCCCCGGTCGGCTGCCACCACCTTCAACTCATAGCTTTCCCTCTGTTCCCTATCGAGGGATGTCTTCACCCGGATCTCTCCGGTTTCAGGTGAGATGGTGAAGAGGCCCTTGGCAGCTGGCTCAGGCTCCAGAGAGTAAACCAGCTCAGCATTGGAGCCCGAGTCAGCGTCACTGGCAGTGACCTCGGCGACCACTTCACCCGGCTTGTTGTTTTCTGGGAAAGCGACTTCGGTGACACTCTGGGTGAAGACAGGCGCATTGTCATTGACGTCCACTACCTGCACCTTGAGGGAATTGGTGCTGGAGAGCGGCGGGTTGCCAGAGTCCACGGCCACAATCTCGATGGTGTAGTCTTTGACCTTCTCGTAGTCAAGCGGGGTGGTAGTTTGCAGGAAGTACTTCTTCTTGCTGTCGCTTCCCGTCTCACTGGCCTGGCGGAGTTGGAAGGGCACATCGCCTGCTACCACACAGGTGACAGCCGCATTCTCTCCCTCGTCTCTGTCAGATACCTGCACCAGGGCCACAGCTGTCTCTTCCGCCACATCCTCCGAGATGTTAGCCATCCCGTCCTGGTGTGTCACCAGCCCTATGCCACGGATCTCGATGGTGGGCGCATTGTCGTTCATGTCCTTCACAGTCACCACCACCTGGGCTCGGGCACTCTTGGGGTTGGTGCCACGGTCCTTGGCCAGCACCGAGAAACGGAGGGTGCTCAGGTCCTCGCGGTCCACGGGGCCCTGCACAGTGATAAGTCCGGTGTTCCTGTCCAGTCGCAGAAGACGTCTCACGACTTCAGGCGCCTGGTGGAAAGTGTAGTCAATCTCTGCGTTGGCACCTTGGTCTGAGTCGTTGGCCTTCACCTACAGGGCAGGGGCGACAAACGAGGGAAACAGGGCTGGGTTAGCTTGGGGATAACAAATTAAGGGACACTAGGGCTGCCTTTCCAGGGAGCACAGCAGACATGACTAATCTAATAAGGCAGTCTTTCCAAAAGCAGCACGTGTGAGCCCTGCCCTTTCCCAGTTCCTGACACTGTAGCTGATATTACTGATCTGTTTCCCTGAAGAGCACAGATAACAGCCCACAAATCCTCGATGGTGCTGCAGGCTTACTACTAGAGATGAGACAGGGCAGAACTGAACTCTACTTATCATTTCTATACTAGTCCACCCAAACGTGGGGATGAGGATCCAACTAGCAACCAGGGTAGCCCTTCCACCCAATTTAACTGGCCTTCAACCCTTCTGAAGAGCTGGGAATGTGTGAGTAGTAGAGATGGTGTGCATGTATGGCATATGTGTATAATAGGCATGCATGAACATACACGTGTTGTGACTATGTGAGAAGGTATGTGTGTTTGTGTACGTGTGTGTTTGTACATGAATGGAGACCCACATGCCCACCTGGAGGCCACAGGTGAGGGGACTGCTTTTTTTGAAAACAGCCAGATAGGGATGTGGGTCAGAGGTAGCCCGCCAAACCAGGCCACTACTCTTGTCAAACCGGGGAAACCTGTTTCAAGTCTCTTCCCCTCCCAGGTCTGGTGCTGGCTAGGCACCAACTTGAGGAATCCAGCCGAGCCTGCAGCCAAGAAGGAGGGACTGGTGCAGGCCACAGATCCTGCTGGCAGCAGGCTGGGCTCCCAGCATCAAACAATGAACTGTCTGTCCCTCTGCAGTGGGCACGCCCTCCCACGCCGAGGCACACTCGGCCCAAGTCTACACAAACACGGGTGGTGACGGGGCAACAGGAGCCAGGTGGGAATGGCCATGAGGGAGCACTGGTCAGGTAGAAACATGCGATCTGGAGTTAGGTCACAGCCCAACCGAATGTGATGGCAGTATGTGTAGGGAGATGAGCAGGGAGACCAGATAGGTGCAACTAGGCAGAGTGTCTGGGGAACAGAGCAACAGAGTCTTATGTTCAAATCCCAGCTCCACTACTTCCCAATAATGTGACCTTGGGTCAATGATTTAACATCCTCAAGCCTCAGTTTACAAAAGTGAACCTATTTCACAAGGTTGTGATGAGGATTAAATGGGATGGTATCTGTAAAAATGTCTAACACTGCCTGGCACATGCCAAGTGCTCCCTAAATACCATGCATCTCTCTTTTTGTCCATCCATTCAGCCAGCCATCCATTCACCTCTGAAAATCAGTGCTGACACTCTATGGGCCACTGCTAGTGTTCCTTCCCACCAGGATTTTTTTCTGACAGTAAAGACACGTGGGTCAGGATTCCCAGCTGCTTGATCTCTGCTCACTCCTCTAACAGTTTCTCTTCGCCCCTCCATCCCCTCAGTCTGTCACTGACTTTTCATTATGATTCCCATTGTCTGTCTCCCTGTCTCTAGCTTGGTCACCCACCTCCTTATCCGCTTTTCTTGCCAGCTTACCTCTCTGACTCGACTTCTGTCTCTCCCTCCCATCTTGCTCAGTTCTTCTGCCTCTTTCCCACTGCTGGTTCTCTCCTATCCTCTCTTTTCTGCTCTATCTACCTGTAGCCTCGTCTCTGCCCCATTCTCCTGCTTCATCCCACTTCTCGACTCTTAAACCCATGAGCTCTGAAGTCAAACTATTGGATGTGGCCGAGGTGGGATCTGAACACATCAGATGGGTGATATGAGGAAAGTTTCCTAATCTCTGTGGGCTCAGTTTCCCATCTGTAAAATGGGATAATGCTTACTTTGTACTGTGGGGATTAAATGATATAATACACAGAATGTATTCAGAACAGTGCCCAGCACTTAGGCTATTATTAGTCACCATCCCCAGCTGTTTGTCTCCCTTCTCTCTCTCAGTCTGTCTTCCACAGGTTCCAGTCCACCAGCCACTAAATAAAGGTCCAAACTCCCCCTGTGCCCTGCTTCAGTTTGGGGATGTAGAAGGAATGGTTTCCCAGGACAGCTAACGGTGTGCAGGGCAGTCTGAGCCCTCCTCAGCTCCCTCACATCAAAGACAGGCAACTTCAGCCCATGGGGAAGGAGAAAGGCTCTGGGGCTGGCAGGAGGCCAGGGCTGAGATGACAGTGCGAGATACACCCACCTGTCTACAGGGACGCTTTCTTGGCTCCCTCCTGGGCCCTGGCCCCACCAAGCTGGCCAGCCCCTGGGGCAGTTCCCACAGAAAGGGGTGCTGAGAACTGCAACAGAGGCCACCAACCCCCCCACTGTGCCCAGCACCCCATACCCACAGGTGCCCGGTGCCTAGGGGAGGAGATGGATATATAGACATCTGAGCACAGTTTTCTAGAATTTTTTTTTTTTTTAGTTTTCTAGAATTCTGAGGACTCACCTGGCTAAAATGATTTCATTTGACTGCCAGGGATGGGCAAAGTCGGGAAAGTCTCATCTGGCTAACGGGCCCCGGGTTGGGAAGATATTCTCATCTCTGGAGAGAATCTACTTGGACAAAAGGCGATTCATGTGTTCAGCTCGCTTTGCTGGGGAGGAGAATGTCATTTGACTTGGATGGGGGTTTCACTTTGCAGAGGTTTCTCCAGCTTGACTCTGCCTCAGGGATGGGGGATCACTGTTCTTATGCTGTGTCACTGTCACGTAAATAGCTTGACAGAGGAAAGTCACTCCCCTGCTGGGGTGTGGTAGGAAAGTCTCACCAAGCAGGGGCTGGGAAAAGAGATCTCACTGCAGTATCTTGACTGTTTTGCCCTTAAGTGAAGGGAATTCTCACGAGGTTGGGGTGGGCTCCCGTTTCTATATGGAAGTCACCCACAGGGTAAAGCAGGGAAGACACAGGGTAGAGTAGACCCAGGGTAGAGTGGGTCACCCTGACAGTTAGATGGAGGGGCCTCTCACCTGGATGACTGAGTGGCCTATGGGGCTGTTCTCAGACAGCTCAGCCTCGTAGGATGGCCGCTCGAACTTGGGGGCATTGTCATTGGTGTCGAGCACAGTGACCCGAAGCAGGGCGCTGCTGGCACGTGGGGGGTTGCCACCATCCTGCACCTTGATGGTGAGGTCGTAAGAGTCCAGGCGTTCCCGGTCCAGGTTGCCCATCACGATGAGCTGCGGCTGCTTCCCCTCCTGGTCCTCTGCCACCTGCAGCCCAAACAGCTCCTGGGCCTCGGGCCCCACCTGCAGCTCATATGACGCCACGCCGTTGGGGCCAGCATCTCGGTCCGAAGCCACCGGGATGGAGAAGAGTGAGCCGATGTTGGTGTTCTCGGGGATGGGCAGTGTGATGACTGGAGAGGCGAAGTTGGGCGTGTTGTCATTGATGTCCTGAACCTCTATCTGGCCCTCCAGCAGCCGGGGGCTGCCATTCTGCACAAGGTCCGTGATAGACACCTCAAACTCCAGGATGCAGGGCTCACCAGGGAGCTGGTTCTGGCATTCACGGAGCCCCTCACGGTCGATAGAGGTCTCGGTGGTAAAGATGTCACCCGTCTTGCCATCCACCCGCAAGTACGGGGCGCCTACCTCTAGTTTGTACAGGTGGCCCACGTCAGGAAAACCGTAGTCGGCGGCGAGGCTCCCGATGAGGGTATTGGGTGGCTGTTCCTCAGCCACCTTGTACACCACCCGAGTGGCATGGCCTGGGGACGGAGCCAGCAGCAGCAGCAGTGCTAGCAGCAGGGTGGGCAGCAGCAGACGTCGCTCCCCGGGGCCTGGGCTGTGCCTCAGGGGCCCCATTGGGGCAGGCTCCAGAATCAGAAGGGCTGTAAAGGGGAGAGACAGAACAGAGTGGTCAGCTGGGAGGAGAGCCCAGGCCCTGAGAGCTGCCCAGAGCCACCCCCCACTCCCCCTCTCTCCCACCTACACACTGATCTCCAGGAGAGAGCTCTGCCCCGGTACAGAGTACCGATTCCAGGACCCAGAACCCGGAGTCTCACCCACAGCCCAGTGTAGCAGCAGTGTCTGCTCCAGCTGGAGGAGCCGGTAGGCGCTGGAACAGGTCTAGAGCAGTTCCCGCCCCTGGAACGCCCGGACCCACCTGACACTCCCTCCCTCCCTGCTCTCTGCTCTGCCCAACACCTCCTTCTCACCAGCATCCTGCCTTAGTCACCCATGCTAATTACCCTGATACTGAGATAGGTAGAGACAGCAAGTGCAAGGGCGAGACCTGGAGCCCCCCACCCCCAGCCATGAACACAGTAGGAGAGAGACGCAGGAACCCTCACATTCCCCAGACCCCGATCATCAGCACCGCCCACGCTGAGGGCCGCTCAAGTTGGCTGCAGGCAGAAGGGATGACGTCACGTTCCTATCCCTTCTGAGATGCCAAGTCAGTGTGCGCATGTGAGGTAGGACATCTCAAATCCCCTTCTTCTGACACTAATCACCCTGCTAACCAGGGTGCCCACCCCTACAAAGGGCCAGCTTGAACAGGGCCCCAACCAAGGCTTGAAAACAAGGTTGAGGAATAGGAGTTCTCCCTCCCTGACCTCCTTGCAAACACACATGTCCCTGTGTGTACACACACAGTTCCTCCACCCTCTCCACAGAGGGTTGGGGAGGAGAAACATGGGCAGGTACGTGGAAGATAGCAGACGTCAATACTGGGGTCAGGGCAGTGGTCAGAGCTGACAAGCCCTGGAACTGGCATTGGGAGCTGCCCCGGCCTGTCCTTAGAAACTAGGAGTCCAGCAGGTCTAACTGGGATAGGGCTGCCGATGACACGAGCAGCCTTGCCCAGACCACTTCCCACATGTCTGTTCAGTCTCCCAGTGTGCATCTGGCCCCTACCTCATACCTGGCCGCTCCCGGCCTTAACTGGTCCAGCCCCATCTCACACCTGCCTCTCCCTGCCCACCCCCAAATCCTTCCGGTGAGAGGCCCGTATGCCCCAGCCAACCACAAGCTGCACTGCAGTCACGACAGCAGCTTGCTTCTTCTGCCGGTCTCCTCAGCTTTGAGCTGTGTGTCAGCAGACTCCAGCTCAGTACCAGTCTTGACTAACCTCCTCTTCTCCAGCACCCCCACACCACAATCAGCCCCACTATTCAAATCCAAAGTCTTTGGCCCAGCATGTTCAACAGAGGCGCAGGCTGGATCTCCTGTCCCCAGGTCCTTGACTGCCCTAGAAATAGGTGCCCTGCACCTGGAAATCCTACCCAGGCCCTGTCACAGGCCACACCCACCCCACTGAACGCAGCTGGTCGCCCAGGAAGCCTTCCCAGGCCTCTTCAGCCCACAGTGACCTCTCCTTCCTCTAACTCACAGCCACTTATTGTGTGTACCAATCCCTCAGCAATGAATCACCGTGAAGCTGGGGACACCGCCCGCCCGTGTTATTCAGTCCCCATATTGTGCACCTAGTCCTGTGTTCTCCACCTCCCCAAGCATCCTGAGGGAAGGGACAGGGCTCCCTGCACTCATCCCCCAGCCCCCACCTGTGCCCCTTCCCAGAGCTGGGCTCACTACAGTGCTCACTCATGCTTTCAGGGAACATTTATTGGGTACTTAAAATGTTCCAGGCTTTATCCTGGGCAGTGGAACACAGCAGTGAATAAGACAGATGCAACCTGTCATTGTAGAGCTGACAGTTCTAACTCATGACTATTTGTCACTTTTGTTGGGTTGTACCCATTTGACAGGTGTAGGGCAGTAGGATGGAGAAGAGAAGGGACTGTGACATCAGCCCAGTCTGAGGCAAACCCCAGCTGCCCACTTCCTGACCATGTGAGCTGGAGCAGTTGATTTAGAGCCTCAGTTTCCTTGTCAGTAAAATGGGAATAACACTACCTCTTTCCTAGGGAGTTTGAGATCATGTGGGCTGAATGCCTAGCATATGGGCACTCAACAAATGCTCCCTCAAAGCTCTTACAGTTGTAGTTAGGTAGCCGTTTGGGGAATAACTTGTGAACTGTCTGTCTTTCTGTGAGCAGAAACTAAGAGAGCTGCTGCTTTGTTCACTCGTATATCCATCCTGAGGGCCTCGCCCTGGATCCTGCACACAGTTGCCGCTGCTGTTGTTTAGTCCAACTCTTTTGCATCCCCATGGACTGTAGCCCTCCAGGTTCCTCTGTCCATGGCATTTCCCAAGCAAGAATACCGGAGTGGGTTGCCATTTCCTTCTTCAGGGGATCTTCCCGACCCAGGGATTGAACCTGGGTCTCCTGCGTTGGCAGGTGGATTCTTTACCACTGAGCCACCAGGGAAGCCCCTGCACAGTACAGTGGGGACTCAGTAACGGCTCGTGAATGACTGTGATTATTGTAGCTAACCGATCCTGGAACTTTATGTGTGTGCACTGCTTGTCCTCACCCAGTTTCTCTACTTCACTGAGAACTCCCTGGGCTCTGATCTAACCCTTCTTGTGTAGGTTAGATCTCAGCAAATGGTCATTGACTGCAGATTCCTTACACAAGCACAGCCCCTCCCTGGTCATTTCTCCCACTAATAGGCTCAACGCATGTGAGGCTGTTATCAGATGGGTAGTGTGTGTTTGTTCCCAGCTGCAATCTTAATCTCTTTAAAGGAGAGAGGAATTTGTCTGATGCTCTATTTGGATACATCCTTCAGCCATTTCCCCTCTCCACATGGACCTGGCACTGGGCTCATCTTACCATCAAGCCCCAACCCAAACCCACCTATCTCCAAAGAACCTCACTCCCTCTGGGCACCTTATTCTGCCCTCCCTTGCACAGCACACACACAATATGGGATCACTGTGAGCACCAACTCCGTGCATAAGTCTTGGCTGGGTGGGGCTTAAACCTGACAGAGAAGAAATAAAGCAGTGACTGCCTGCCTCCACTCACTCTCTCCAGATCAACAATTTGTAACCTTTTGGGGTCACATCCCCCTTAGTGAATTTTATGAAACTACATGGCAGATTTTTCCAAGAAAAACAAATGTTCACAAATTTTGGCTACAACTTCAGAGGTCCGTGGTCTGGCAGCGTCAGGGTGACTTTGATTTGTAGCTGCTCTAAGAGCTACAGATTAAGCACCAATCTCGGGGGCTTCCTTCCCCATCTCAGGTCACAACCAGGGGCTCTGACCTCTCAGGCCTCCCAGGCAGCACAAACATAGCAAGTCTGCGACACATTCTCCCCACCTCCCGCCTGCCTCCTAATACTCATACACATTCTCTCACTCACGCTGTCACCCTTGCTCAGTCGCTCAGTTGTGTCCGACTCTTTGTGACCCCATGGACTATAGCCCACCAGGCTCCTCTGTCCATGGAATTTTTCAAGCAAGAACACTGGAGCCAGTTGCCATTTCCTTCTCCGGGGAATCTTCCCTACCCAGGGATCAAACCCAAGTCTCTTTCATCTCCTGCACTGGCAGGCAGATTCTGTACCACTGAGCCACCAGGGAAGCCCCCCTGTCATCCTTAGGAGTCAGGGAAGGATTGTGGCATCTAACTTCTGATTGGGAGGAACACAAAAGGAATATCCAAGGCAAGGACGGTTGGGGGCAGGGGGCGTTTCCAGGGGTTGGGAGAGGGTTGCCCAGAGTAGGATCAAGAGCTGAAGAAGGTTAGGCCTAAGTACCTGAAGAGTCCCTTTAAAAAGAGTACTATCTGGCCCCACCCTTAGGAATGCTGATTCTGGAAGAGGGAGGAAACCCCCAGGCAGCAAGGTGGAGGCAGGAAGGGTCTGGAACCTTCTGGGAACAATCTTGAGGTACTCTAGGTCTTTGGAATTAAGAATGAAGTATAATTTCTGTCATCATCACCTTTACCACCATTATCTCTAACACTCCCAGAGATTCTACTACATTTACATCCATTTCCCATTTAATCCTCCCATCCCTCTGAAATGGGTCCCGTTTATTATTACATGGCTTCCCATAGTACAGATGATAAAACTGAGGCTCAGAAAGAATAACTGCCTTAGGTCATAGCTGAAAAGTTAAAGTGAAGTTGCCCAGTCATGTCTGACTCTTTGCGACCCCATGGACTGTAGCCTACCAGGCTCCTCTGTCCATGGAATTTTCCAACCAAGAGTACTAGAGTGGGTTGCCATTTCCTTCTCCAGGGGATCTTCCCAACCTAGGGATTGAACCTGGGTCATCAGCATTGCAGGCAGACTCTTTACCAACTGAGCCACCAGGGGAGCCTCTAGTAAGCTGAAGAGTTAGGATTTGAGAAATATGAATGCTTCCCCACATGAGTTGAGAAAAGGCTGGATGGGGGAAGAGAAATCAACAGAAATCACTGGTTGCTATGTACACACACACACACACACACACACAATCCCTGGGCTGCCAAACCTGCAGGGCAAGGAGTGAAAGAGAAAGAGGGTCTAGGGTTCAAGGATGGAAGGACGCCAGGCCTCCCTGGATGCAGGGAGAGAGAACAGAACAGCCAGGAGTGGCAGTGAGGCAGCCCCTCCTACTCCTGCTCACACCATCCCTGAACTTTGTCCTGGTGGTTGGTTACAGGGAGTCATTAGTCCCAGACGGCAGCCTCTGAAGCCATTAGTGCCTTATCTGCCCTTGCCCAGGCACTGGCTGCCTTCCCGGCAGAGGTGTCCCCACCTCCACCTAGCGACACTGGGCACCCAGGACCCTGAGCAGTCAGAACCTCAGGAGGGTCAGTGACTCATTCTTCTCAGGCTCCACGAGCACAGTGAGGTGGGAGAGCACAGAGTCCAGGAAGGCCAAGGAAAACGCCATCTGTGTCAACATCTGGGCTGGAAGAGGACGGCTGTGAGGGTCACCTGGAACCTTCATTGCCAGCCCACCCCGGGGACCAGGGGCCATTTCCTCCTGAATGCTGTGGCCAGAGAGGAAACACACAGGGGCAGATGTCACAGCCCCAGAGGCCAGGTCAGCTGTGACCCCCACCCCTGCACTGTATCAAACAGCCACCACCACGGAGGGCACAAATCACCGAGGGACACAGCAAACATCTGGGAGAGGAGGGTAAGCAAGCTGGTCTGTGTGGGGTGGAGCTGTTCAGAGGCTTCCCACAGTGAATAAGTGCACAGCCCTCAGCTCCTCTCCCTTCTCTTTCACAACCTTCTATTAGCCTCTGTGGGGTTTCCAGGCACCTGCATTCTTGAGTCAGATTGTCAGAGTTCAAGCCCTTGTTCCACCGCTTGCTAGCTGTGTGACCTTGGCCAAGTGACTTTACCTCTCTGAAGATATTTCTATATTGTGGAATGGAAATAATCCTGCCTCTTGAAATTATTTGGGAGGATTAAATGGGAGCTGATACATTAAGGTCTATTGTAAAGGAGAGATATCTTTCTCTCTAAATGGAGCATTTCATGTCCAGCATCAGGCACACAGTCGGTGCTCAGTGGTTTCATAAATCAGTGAACAAATCCCTTGCCATCTGGGAAGACCTATGAAGGCAAGGATAGTTGTGTATCTTACTACTGTATTGCATCCTCATCACCCACCATGGGCCTTGGCAGACAGTAGGAGCTCAATACTTGGTTGAAAGAATCTCTGCAGCACCAACTATCCTCTCTCATGGTAGGGGTAGCCCTCACCCCATATGAGGATCTCCTCCTTCCCCATCTCCTCTCCCCAGCCCTGACTCCTGCTCAGCTCCTCCCTCCATCCTCCCAGTCCCTCTCCTGACCCTTCCACCCACACTCCGCAGCAGTTAGCTCACCATCTCTACCTAGCCCAGGTCCCCTGACCAAGTAGCCACAGCAGCAGACCCTCTGCCAGCAAGACGCCCCTTTCCAGCCGAAATCCCTTTTGGGGGTGGGGATTGGGTGGGAGGAAAGGGGAGAAACTAAATGCAGCCAGAACTGAAACCAGACCTGCTCCCCTGCCACCCTGCCCCGGCAGTCTCTGGAGGCCCTTCTCATCCCTCTCTCCTCGATCCACTCCATGGGTCTAGTTATAATTACAGATCTCAATCCTCCGAGACCCCCAAGTCAAGAAAGTAACACTTGCTCCACCCCTAGCCCCCACACACCTAGACCTCTGACTGTCACAAACACCTTCTGGACGCCCTCTTTCCAGGCAGCTACCAAGGGCTGGCTCAAAGCAGGTAGTGGAAGGCCCTCGGCATCTTCCGGCACGACGTCCTGGACTCAGCCGGACAGGCCGGGGCGGGCAGACCCCAGCCTACACCGCTGCGGTCCGCGGGCGCTCGTGGCACACACCCTGCGCTCGGGGCATCTCCTCCCAGAGGACACTGGAGAGAGTGTCGGGGGTGGGACGGCGGCAGTTCCTCCAGCATCCTCCGGCTCGCCCAGCCCCACCCCACCCCCACCCTCACCCCCGCGGCGCCGGGCCTCCCCGAGCTCGAGGCGAGGCGCGAGTGCGGCGCCGGGAGAATGCGCCTCACCAGCCGGCCCCCGGCGCCCCCTGCCCCAGGGGCCGCCGCGGGGAATCCCTCCTCCTCCTCACTCCGGGTCTCAGCCTAGGGACCCTTACAAGCCGACGTCGCTGAGAGCCGCGCCGCGGGCGCCGGGAGGGGGCTGGGAGGGAGCCGGCGCCGGAATCACAAAGCGGCGAGCCCGGCCCGGAGGAGAATTTCTCGTAAAACCGAGCCTCTCGCGGACGGCAGAAAAGGGGGCTTTACCCTACTCTCAATCATGAAAGACCTCAGAGTCGCCCCGAATATTTCCTGCTAGAAGGAATGGTCGCCGGCCACTGCTGAGAAATAGAGGCCAGAAGTCTGGGCTCCCGAGGGTAGGTGGGGGGGGGGGAGTGCGAGTCCTTGTCGCCTGCCAATTCTGCTCCTGCGCGTGCCGCGCGTGCCCTCCTGGTCCCAGGGCCTCGCCCGCGCACACGACTCTGGCCTGCAGCCGGGACCTGGCGGAGGGGACGCCCAGGTGTGAGGGACACAGGTGTGTGGGACCCAGGTGTGCTGGGGACCCAGGTGGTTCGGAGAACGCAACTGAATGGTCCGAAGAGGGTCGCAAACACTGCCCAAGGTTGGCACCCTTTGCGAAAGGGCCTAGTGCTCCGGAGCTTCGGGGAGGCGGGGTGGCGCGGCCTGCCAGGTCCAGCTTGTTCCGGGAATACCCGGCCGGCCGGCCGGGGAGTGGGGGTGGGGGAGGCGCCGGCGGGGAAGCAGGTCCGGCCAGCCCGCCCCTAGGGTTCCCGCCGGGCCGATATTTACACTGCCTGTATCGGATAAGGGGAAGGGGCGCTAGGGGCCCTCCTGGCAGCGCGGCGGCTTCCCAGGACGGAATCTGGCCTCTGAGGGAGAGGGACAGAGCGCGTGTGTTTGTGTATATACCCCGCAAGGTGTAATGTGATATTGTTGGTGGAAGGTGTGTGTGAAATCCAGTATTAAGATGCGGGAAGCAATAGACTCTGTGTTTGTGACCGTGAAGCGCTGTTGTGGGTGCCACTTGCTGTGTTAGGGTGTGTGCCTTCAAGGCGTGTGTGGAAACACTGGGTTCTGTGTTTATGGGTGCAATCGAGGGGTGCAAGCAAGACGTGTTGTGTACCTATGTTCTGGCCAAGGAGTGTAACATAATTTATGTTAGGGTGTGTTCCTTAAAGGAATATGTGTGTGAGGCTGGATTTTGAGTGTTCATCTGGCGAACTGTGGCCGTGACACTCCTGTTTTAGGGCACGAGATTGCGTTTGTGTGTCCAAGTCGCCGAATGTCACACCCGGCTATGTTCTGTTGCTTTGTAGGACCACGGGTTGTGTGTCCGTGCTGCTGAGCGTGCAGGCGCTGAAGCGGATTCTCAGCTAGTGACGGTGCCCCAGCGGGCGCTGGTGTGCGGGAGGTATGCCTGTGTGCACATATGTATGTATGTGTGTCCATATGTCCGTGGTTTGGCCCTCTGGGTGCCCGCGGGGAGCTGGACGCGCCTAAGTGATCCGAGCTGGTCGCCCAACAAGTGTGTGTGTGCTTGTGGATGAGGGTCCTTGCTTGCTACATCCTCGGGGAGTGCCCCCCCCAACTGGGGGCTGCGCACTTGCCCCAAACCATCTCCATGTCTCGCGCTCCCGGAGCCCCCTTATCCCCGCAGCTCCAAGCGCACCAGGGTGCAGGGCGCCTAGGCTGGGGTCCAGTCCAGCACACCCTCTCCTAGCTCAGCTTCTTGCGGCGGACCTTGGAGGCCAGGGTGCCCCGGCCGCAACCCCCACTATGAGCTCCCAAACGCCCCCACTTCAACCCAGGCACGCGGAGCACCGACTGGGCCCCCGTGGCCTCGCTCGGCCGAGCGCCCCTCCCTCGGCTCCCGCCGGCCATGGCCGCTCACGGGCGGGAGCCACCGCCGCCTCCACCACCACCGATCCTTACCCGACTCTGGGCAGCGCTGGCCGCGGGCCCTGCAGTCCATGAGCCGCCACCGGCCCCGGCCCGAGGCTGCGACTCGGCACGGCTCGGGCTGGCGCTGCGGTTCAGGCTCGGCTCCGGCTGGCTTTGCGCGCAGCAGCCCCGGCGGCTTCGCGTCCGCGCCGCGCTCCCGCTCCCGGAGTGTGTGAGGCGGCGGCGGCGGCGGTGGCGGCGGCGGAGCTAGCAGCGAGCGGAGCGCACAGCCGGGCCCGCCCCCTCCCTCCCCCTCCCTCCTGGCCCTCCCGCCCGCCTCCCGCCCGCCTCCCAGTCCCCCTCCCCCAGCTCCGTGGCCGGGAGGTGGAGCTCGGGACCGCTCTGGTTCTGCTGGGAGGGGACCCCCGCACCGCTCCGCAAAGCCGGGACCCCTTTTGCTATCTCCTCGCTCCCCGAGGCCCGTATACGCAGATTGTCCCCCTCCCAGGCTCTTCAGTTTACACTTATTCCACCCGTGCCCCCATCTGGAACCCCTCCCGAATTCCTTTCCCAACCTCATTCAAACACCTGTCCTTTACTCTGCCCCCCTGGGAAGTCGAGCCACGGGAAATGTCTCCCGATGCCTTCTCTGGGCATCTGCTCCTCCAGATCCACCTTCTTCCTGCCCAGACCCCCAGAGCACCCCGAGTGGCCCTCCCTTCCCACTGCGCTCTGGGGAAGTCCACCCCTCCCCCTCTGGCCGAAGCCGCAGAGCGGTCAGCGTCGGTGGCCGCAGCAAGTCTTGGGGGTGGGGCTACGGAGGGGACCGTGGAAGGGGGAGGGTAATGGGACCCGGAGGCTCCGCTAGAATGAGGACTGGGGAAATATACAAGTGTGAGGATGAGGTGACGCGCCTAAGCTCGGGCTGTTAGAGGGTCCCCCAATCACCTGTCCTCTGGGCGGCAAGGAGCTGTGGCCCCACCTTTACCGGTGACAAACATATTCACACTGAGTCACACGGGCCCCTACCCCGCGAAGCCGCGCGGTGTCACGGCCTGTGTCACGCGCCCTCGCAGTGCCACACTCTTACACTCACACCGACTCACACACGGTGTCACACGCAGTGTCTCACACACTCGATAACTCAGTTTCTCCCACTCAGTTTTGGCTCTCTGGCGCCATCTAGAGGTGGCTGAGCGGCCTGGGAATTCCTTTTCCTTCGCCCAGGGTTTGGTACTCAAGGCTCTTAAGTACCCCAGTCCAATACGACCTCCAGCCTTTCGCCATGGATAAGCCAACGCAGAGGGTTGAAGGTCAGAAGAGTGACAAAGACTGTGTTCCTGGAAAGACCTGGCATTGGCTGTGTAAAGGTCTAATACGGGATGACTGATATCTGAGTGTCTATTTGCCTTGGCCTCTGACTCCTCCTCCCTATTCACCCCCATTTTCCCATCCCTATCACTTTCTACCCCTTGTCTCTTTCCTCTGGCACCTCCCCTTCTGACACCTGGATTTTTGGTGGAGCCCTCCTCAGGGTAAGGGTGGGCTCTCAGGCCAGCTAAGGGCTGGCCAAGATCTCTCCGAGAGCAGCCCCCTCTCCATTGGACTCCCTTTCTGCCCTGGGTCCTGCTCTAGTGTGCACCTCTGGCCCTCAGCCCTAGAATCCCAGGTCGGGGGCTCTGGGTGGGAGATGGGGTGAGCTAGTGGTAGGCAAATCTGCCCTTTAGGTGATTTCTTTCTGTCCCTTGCGAAACTCACACTCCCCATCACTGAGCACAGCTCCATGGGAGGAATCAGTGACCCAGAGACAAGAAATCTTCCACAGAGGAGCTGCCCCAGCCTCCCTGCCCCCAGCATGTGCCTGCTGCCCGCTGCAGCAAACCCTCCCCGGTCTGCTTGCTGGGAGCCATTCAAAGGCTCCTCTGTTCTCCTCCCTTGCTCAGGGCTGAGCAAGATAGGCAGCCGCAGAGCTGGGCAGGAAATGCTAATCTCCCAGATGTTCTCCTCCGTCCTCCCTACTCTACCACCATCAAGCCCAAATCCTGCACCAAGTGGTGGGAGCAGAACTGGGCCAGCGCAAGGCCAGGGTGTGTCTACTCTTCTCCCTGCTCTCTATCCCTTCCTAACCCGCTGCCAGGCTGGGCACTCTGGGGGATCTGAGCATGGGACAGTGTAGAAATGAGGAGGAGGCTGTTTTCCCAAAGAAGGAAGGCAGGCAAAGGGCAGAGACTGGGAGGTTACATTTGAGGAGAGAAGCCAGGTTCCTGGCCCCATACCAAACTGGGAAGAGGACCTGACTGACAAGTAGGATATGGGGTCAAGTAGGATATGGGGTCAAGTTCTAAACTGATGGTGCCTGAGATTCCACCTGAGACTATGGCTGGGAATTGGACCCTGGGTGATGCTTGGTGTGGGAGTGGTTGGGATGCTTGGGGCCTAAGGCTCTTGCTGTGATATGTATGTGCCTGGGATGGACTGTGACTAAGAAAGTTAGGATGGTGTAGATCCTGGTATAGTAACACAAAAAAATTGTTGCCACTGATAGCAGCTGGAACACTGCTGTGATGCTATGATGCTGGTGTGCCTAAGCTATCGCCAAAACAATCAGATTATCAGAGAGTCTGTTGTATGTGTTCATGTGGAAAGGAGGGCTGTAACTGAAATGCTGTAAGCCTTGAAGCTGAAGATGTGAGGCTGACATACCTGAGACTGGCTATAGCTGAGAATCTGTTCTCTGTTCATATGACGTAGGTAGAACTGTAGCTGGATCCATTGCTTAGGTCCTAGGAGATGAGAGGCTGTTGCTAGGAGCCTGTACCTGAGAGGAAGGTTGTTACCTGGGATAAGAGCAGAGCTACTGTTGTGTATAGGACTGTAGCTGGGATGCTATTGGTCCTGAAACTATAGCTGTGATGACAGCATACTGGGGATTGGCTATAGCTAAGATGCTGTTGCCCAGGCTTGTGTCTGGTCTATTACTGTGTGCAGGACTCTAGCTGGGATGCTGTTATGCCTGCAGCCATAGCTCTGAAGCTCAAATGTAGCTGGGAGGCCATTTCCTGGTAATATAGCTGGACCACTCCTGTGTGGGGGATGGAGCCCAGACTCCGTTGCCTAGGAGATGAGAAGCTGTTCCCTGGGAAGCTGTTCTGGAAGGCAGGATGCTACCTGAGATGGGAGGTGATCTTCTCTTGGAGCTGATCTACTGTTGTACTTGGGACGGCTTCCGAGTGGCTGTTGCGTCTGAGGCTGGCTGGGTGGAGGAAGGCGAATGAGTTCTGCCTTGAGGTCTGGGAGATGCCAGGAGCCCAAAGCTAGGTGGGGGCTGCTGCTCTGGGAGGCTTCAGCAGCTGCTTTGCTGTGAAGCTGGGAAGCCTGTTTTCATTACTGTTTTAACTCTTTTTTTAACCTTGTTTTTCTCTCGGCTGCACTTTTGCTCACTCATTAATTTTGGTATTTTTCTCACGGTGCCTCAGCCTCTGTCACGGCTGCCATGGCAACAGGAGGCAGTTTGCACAGCGCCAAAATATCTGATCAAAAAATAACCAAAATAAGCAAACACCAAAACGACTGTTCTGGGGGCTCCGGCCAAGGGAGAGCCAATGGCTCAAGTCCAGGAAACTCTAGGCTCCCAAGGGACCCTTTTTCTTCCCCAGGGAAGCTTTGCCAAACCTTCTGATAACCTCGGAGGCCCCTTCCCAAGGGAATCTCCCCCAACAAATTATCCCAGGACTCTGAGATTTCCAATGGTCCCTGCCCAAGAGGTATTGAGAAGATGTGAGGACTGGGGTTCACTTCCCAGGAGCTGAGTCAAACCTCTAAGAAGCTCCTTCCCTGCCCTCACATCTGCACTACTCCACCCAGCCCTCTTCTGGCCCTCCCTCCTTCCTCAGGCTTCTTTTACTTTCTCTCCTCCCAACCCCTGCTTGCCCACCTCCACTCTCTTCTTTTCATGCCCCAGCATCCGGACAGGTTGGATAGAGGGGAGGAAGCTGCAGCCTCCAGACCACCCCCAACTCTTCAACAGAGATACGAGGAGAGATGCCACAAAAGCACCTGACACTCCTAGGCTCTGGCCACCTCCAGCTCCAGCTGCCTACGGGAAATTCCTGAACAGCCCTGAATACCCACACTCACTCTGATTTCCCCCCAATAGCATTCTAGTTTCCTGGGGACTTCCTTCTCTCAAGTGGGCATGTCCCCAGGAGGGGTTGAACAGTAGAGCCTCAGGTGGAAAAGGCGGGGCAAAACTCTTGGTACTACCTGTTTCACTTCTTCACCCACTAATTTCTCCTCTGACGGGGCTTGTCTAGATTTCTAGAGCACTAAGAGCTCTAGAGCAACAAGAAGGCACTCTTCAACTCTGCCTGAGTCACATCACAAAATTATATTTCTGGTTTCTCTTCTTCGTACCCCTCCAGAAGTGAAAATCTCACTCCCAACAGGTCTTTGTCCACCTCTGAGATCTAGAACTCACCTTCTGCTCCTTATGTTCAGTTCCTATAGCCCTCTCCCCACCAAGAGCAGTAGTGGCCTTGGCCTCCTGGCAGAGCCTTCCTGGGCCTGTTTCCATAGAAACCAGATAGTCTGTGCAGTGTGAGATGGGGAGGGGAGACAGGAGGAGGGACGAGGGACCAGACCTCAGGGACAGCCCTAGAAGAAGGGACCTGGGCACTGAGAGGAGGAAGCTGTCCCATCCAGAGGGAGGGGGGACCTTGATTTGGAGAGGGGAGAGAGAATCTTTGTAGGTTCTGTCCCTACACAGCTTTCTCTGTTGCCTCCCAAGGAGGCACACAACTGTCTCCTCACCTGGCACAGAGAAGGGGAGTTCCTCTTTCCCCATACCCCTAAAACCCTTCTTTACCAAGAATTTTCTGATCTGGGATGATTCTCTTTCCCAGGAGGCACCAGTCTTAGTCTAAGACCAGGATCATAGGATACCTTCCCTCCCCCAAGAGCTACGCAATCGCCCCAGACCAGTGACTCTGTGCTCTGAAGGCTGGGCAGCCCTGGGACCCGGTGGCCGCTGCTGACCCCGTGGCGTGCGGCTCTGAAAGGCCCCATTCATCTCTGGGGGCTGAAGGCACCATT